ATACCTTCCCCCGATACTAAACCTAAGCTACGCAAAACGTATTAATAATCGAATTAACTATTAATATAAATTATGTTTTCCGAGGACTATGAAAAAGATCCTCGGAAGGTGTGTATGTCCTCGGAAGTAGCTATATATCTGTATTTTTGTCCTCGCAACATATAGCAATCCAAGTACACACACACACACACACACACACACACACACACACACACACACACACACACACACAAACTGCAAAGACTCCCTCTTTTTGTGTTTCGCACATGGAGTCAAAAATACTAACCTGGTCCACCAGGTGGTGCCATCATCATTGGTGGTGGTCCCATCATTGGTGGTGGTGGACCTCCTGGTCCGGGTGGGGCTCCTGGTTGTGGGGGTGGCCCACCTGGACCTCCACTATAATTTGTTGGGGGAGGTATCATCGTTCCCCTTGGCGGAGGTCCGCTGGCATTTGGAAATGGATTTTGTGCAATTTTACCTGCTTGGAATGCAGCAGCTAAATTAAAACAAACAAACAAAAACTATTCATTAGTAATTGAGGGGATTTCTGTTATGTGCCCTTCCCCAGTATTTGGAAAATCCATCATGGTGTGTATTTCTGATGTGCCATTACAACCAGACCAATAAACCAAAGTTGACAATTTTGTTCTATTTCACATACTAGTGACTTAAATACACAACTTATCTGAAGTGATGAGGCCTGTGAACACCACCCCCCAATTATATGTTTACCAGACGCTACTGAAATTTACATCAAGAATAAATGTGGCAACAGTAAAAAAAAAAATTGCAGTCGTAACCCCACACCTTTTAGAGTGTAGAGTGTATCTATGAGCTACTCATACTGGGTATTCATTGAGATGGAGATGGAGTAAAACTTACTTGTTTGATCAATCAAATTCTGTGCTTGCTCTTCCATCCATTTTTGATAATAAATTTTGACATTTTCTTTGTGTTTTCTACCTTGGCAGTGAGTTTTTCTCACAGAGGGCTGGAAAAAAATGAAAATTAACTATTTACCATAAAAGAAAAGAAACATACAATGTACACCACACATCATAGAGGTGGAGCTGTACATGTACCGCAGATGACACAATCCCTGAAAGAAGATTTCTTAATCTATTCTATTATTAGAGTAATTGTATTACAACAGAATTCGATCAAGCTGCCTCACCCACGAAGCTGCGACATTACGTTATTAAATTGTAACAACCTTAATTTAGTTACATTGAAGCTTAGTTGCCATTGAGGTCAATACAATAATGTATAGAGAACACTCTGTTCATTTGCATTTACCACTACGATATTATCCTACATTCACACATTTAGCTCCATGTCCAACTGATTTCAAAACGAAGAATCCTATCATGTCAAACGCATTTGTGCATTTTTGTTTTTGTCTTTTCCCAGAAATCTCATTGTTCAGAACAATTATAATGCATTGCAGCAGAACATAATCATTTTTCCTATTGGAGACTGCTCAGACCTACATGTACCCATATGATGTTGCTTTCAAAAGTGCATTGTAAATTATGTGAACGCGTTACGTGACGCACGAGTTTGCAGACCTCTCGCGTGCTTCCCCTGCGTGTTTCCCTAGTTTAGTCAAAATTTACGTTACGACTCCTCAATGAAAGTCGCTGGAATGTTTTTTGAGATCGATAGATACATCTCTTATGAAATATTATACGAAATTTGAAAGGCTTGATTTTACATGAGAGGCGTCACTCAAATAAGAATAAGGTCAGTGTGAGAAACACTGCACTGGAAACGGATGGGCTTACAGGGGGGAGCTTGAAGAAGATGTCAAATAGGGTCAGTATAATTTTAAGTCGCCATTAGAATTATCGATTGAAGGTTTAAAAAAAGAAATCGAAATTTTGGAAAAGGAATTAAATGTTGCCAAACAAAAGCACGGTGATCTCGTGGAGCGTTACTGCAACGAACAAAGGAGACAGGTTGGTGAGAAAAATGCACACGATGTCACACGTACGGAAGTCCTGAACGTGACAAGTGCAACTGTCCATTTCCATACAGCGTGCATTCCGACAGAACAGCGCAGTCTAGTTTTTGAACAGGCAACGAAAAGATGTTTAATTGGCTAGTCAACTAGAAGGTAAACTTACTATTTAAATAAAAAAGAACCTCAGTTTGGATGTGAAAAAACTGCTTATGAAACCACCAGTACATCATTCTACTCGCGGATATGCACAGCACGGGTAAATAGTTAATACGTACCCCGTACGCTAATAAAAATACTACAGCGGAAAAATAACCCCACAACCAGGAGTTTCAGTGTCAAGACATTTGTGAATATTATAGACAATTTCAATCGTAAACACAACAGAGCTGACAAATACCGCCCTGGTGCAAAAGTTCCCAACCCAGTGAGAAAGATGGAAAAACAACGTAATGTGGTATTTCCTGAAACTGCATGCTGAGACGCTCACAATAACAGCTGCGTGTCACTCAACTGCCACAGTGAACACCGGTGAATGTAGTACATTACCTGCGGTATCTTGGAGCCCTGACTCCCCGAACAAGTGTACGACTGGCATTACGCCTTCACATATAAACTTTCCATACAGCTATCTCACTGCTCCTTATTATCAACCTGGCACTGACTGTTTTCAATATTCACCAGGATACGGAAATATGTTCGACGCATCACAATTCACTTATCCACAAGTGTCGCTTCCATTGTTGCCTGGAACATCATACCTGATGGAGTCATCCATGCACAATGTTGCCCACACATCTCCACCACCATCACTTGCAAATGAAACCCAGTCGGTAACCAGTTACACCGAATGTTGCACCCCAATTGCCACCAGTGCCATCCAATGAACACTAGTAAACTAAAGTCTAAACTTTGTTTAAACTAGTTGCGAACGTTTATCTATAGATAATAGTGAGTTATTCTTTAGATTACATTAACGGTGTATTACTGATCAACATTTGTTTACCCCCCCCCCCC